AGTTTTTTTTCTTGTTTGTTTTTTCTTTTTCCGTGTGTGTGTGTTCTCTCTTTGTTTCAGATTTTAACTTTCAGAGCTGTTAGACTGTTAGGTACCAATTAAACCCAGTTTAGGCAAGGGGCTTTATGGACTAGCTTCCAGTGCTCCTATAAGAATAAATTAGAAAGAAAGATTAGAAGGTTACCGGTTTCACTGTTTCAGTGGCAACCTGATTATTAAATATTAATTGATAATTTGATCAATCAAAGATCTGTAAATCAATAGTAGAAAAACCTGAAGGGTTTTAATTTTTATGAATGTCTGAATAACATATTATTGATATTAACATAGATTCATTTGCCAGGGAAGGATAATGTCGTCAAGTCGTGTATCTAAGAGTAAATATCAGAGAGATAGGTTTACAGGATAAACTAGATTGAAGTTACAGTCTAGGCTAGATAGAGTATTGCGACTCTGCGTGTTGGTCTAAGTGCCGGAGTCCAAGACAATGTGAGCGCGTCTAGAGTTAGCTGCCTGACTGCAGCAGTGCAGCTGAATGAGCTGATTGAGCTGAAGGCTGTCTGCCTTTGGAGCAGGGTTGCCAGATGGAGCCGAGTGAAAAAGGCCAATTTAGCTCACAAAAAAGGCCATAAAGGCCTCATTTTAAATTAATAAGAAATTCTTAAATTAAAGGTAGTTCTAACAATTCGCAGGGCATGCATTTACTCTCAACGCTTTCAGAAAGCAAAAAAAACTACACCAATTTCACCAAGTGTACGAGCTGAATTACCGCCAATGCTTTACCACTCGGCAACTGGATATAGTCCCATGGTTCAACCAAAATGTTGCCCGAATTGAGCGGCACTCGCCAGTGTTGCCACCTAAACCTGTAAACCGAAGTGTTGACACAGTTACAGAGTTTATTCGTCTTGGGCAAAACTAAATTTAAGTGTACTCGTCTTGGATAAAATTGAAGGACCAAATTATCAGAAAAAAACGGGAATTACACTTTTCATAAAAAAAAAAAAACCCAAAACGGATAAAAAGGCCAAATTAATTTTTGTCAGGCCAATGCCTTTAAAAAAGGCCACATCTGCGAAATTTGGCCTGAAAAAGGCCCATCTGGCAACACTGCTTTGGAGTATGAACTGACTGGCGGTTGGCTTGATAAGCCATACGCGCAGACCCGCAAATAGTGACATCACACAAGGTGACGACCGTGACGTAAGAGAGACTAATGACATCATGGATGATGAAGCTCTGCTGACACGTCCCCCCCTTCGTTGTAGAAGCGTCCTCGCTTCATTAAAAAACAAGAACTATTACGAATAGTATATCTACGAATTTCTTAACAAAGATCATATTGCCAAGTCGTAAGTTAGTTTCTAAATCATAGTTAGCCTCGACGTTAAACACTAACTTTCTGTGTTTATACGAATCAAGTTCTAAAAAATATGAGACACAGGTAAACCTTGTTGATTAATTTAACATTAATTCTAAAACTAAATTTTAAGAACAAAGCTCAGTTACTAGAGTTTACATAGTTCAACTCTGATTGTCAACGGACATTATAGTAGTACCTTAATATTACATATAACTTAACAACTATCGTAGTAACAGGCTGAGGTTGACAACATTGCACCGAATTCTTTCGCACAGTTTTATTCTGTAATTTATATTATGTTTGTGTCATGCTGGTTTTTTTAATAATATTTAATACGATTATGTAAAATCTAAAGGCTTTATCTATAAATGCAGCGGTAGCGCTGTAGCGGCAAAACCTCGTATCGCTACTTAAATATGTAGCGGGCGCTAACGCTACAATATCTTAAATGTAGCGCCGCTACCGCTACCACTACTGAAAATGTAGCTGCCGCTACATGTAGCGCGCTACTGCCCACCTCTGCATAGAATTTCGATGCCGGTTGGAACCCAAGAATACAGTGTGTCGCTCGGCACGAAGACGATACATTTTCATTAGTTTCTATTTTTAGAGAACCCATGTAATAGCCTATTATTATATTTAGTATGAGCTGCTGTGGATCATTTCGCAATTTATTTTACGTTCTGTTACTTTACATGTATTTGGCTAATTCATGAAATAGTGCACAATATCGATTAACCAATTAATAGCGAAACAATTTCAAA